CAACATGAAAATATTTGCTTAATTTTTAATATGTCTTTCTAAATTTCATTACACTATAAAAATCTTTAACGTGGAACAAGAGGACTCGAACAACACAAAGATCTACACAATTGAAGAAAAATAAGTTGTCACAAAAAATTAAGATTTTCTTCGATTCTATCATTGAAATTTATGATTGTAAAGATGACAGTTGAAGAGAGATTTTGTTTGTTTTTCATTAAGCCTATTTTATGGCTTCGGCCATTTTTCGAAGAATATAATATGTGTGATAATTAACTTTTGTTCATATTTCACTTACAATTGTTCCAAGTAAATTTCTTTAAAAAACAATGTTTTATGCAATTTTTTTTTTTTTTTGATCGTAATAAAAACATATATCATCCTAGTTGACAACGGAAACACAGGCATGTAGATTTTTTTTCTCTCTCACTCTCTTACAACATTGTCCAATTTGAAAATGGATTTTGAACAATATAAAATTTTACAAAACAAAGTAAAAAATTGTATGAAGCAACATTAATGAGTCGCAAGTTAAATATATAGCATATGCATTACATAATAAAAGCAGTTATTTCCTCTACAAGTTGTATCTGTATACAAATACAGAGAGAGAAAGAGAGAGGAGAGAGTGTGAATTTTCTCTTTCCTTCTTCTCGGTAGACAAACAAAGACTTTTAAAGAAAATGAACATGAAACCTTGTAAAGTCAAATTCTTTTCCTCTCTCTATCGCTCTCTTTTCTTTTCTTTTTTTTTTTTTTTTTGTCGATTCATGATAAGGAAGTGTGGAGAAGAAGGAGAAGAAGAAGAAGTTCAATAATTGGTTATATAGCGTAATAACTTATCATCATTCATTTAATATTTGTGTGTATCAAACTGTGGAAGATAGATATATTTGAAGAAATGAACGATAAGAGGCTACAATAATAATGATGATTATTTCAACTGACAAATATCATTGCAAAAACAAATAACAAATTGGAAATGTTTACATGTTAGTGTTATATCACATTGCGAGATATCGATTTAATAACAGGTGAATTATGCAACAATAACCAACTATCGTTAACTTAACAGAGGAAAAAAAGAAAATGAATGAGTAAATATTGTTACTATTTGTCTTCTCATATATAGAATTATAGTAGTAAGAAAGAAATATTCAAAAATAAAGGTATTTTAATCTGGATTGAAGAGTCAAATTCCTGTACTGGAGATTAGACTTTGAAAATAGCTTAGAGTTTAAATAGAAGAAAAAGAAGAAGAAAAAAAAAATAGTATGAGCATCATCTTTTTCTTTAATCTTTTTCGTTATCTTTATGATAATCATTTTATAATAAGAATCAATCTGTAGTCTGTGTATGAGTAGGAAAATATAACTTCTTTTTTTTTTTAATGATAATGCAAGGTTTAAAATATCATCTATCTTTAGACGGTGTTTCTCGCCATGTTGAGCACGAATAAGAGACGATAGCTAAATATAATCATTAGTATGTGGTGATATCTTTTTTTTTACTGCTAGTAGCCATTGTTCTTGTTGTCTATGCCTAAAGGATAAAACCTTATTTTTTTTTATGATGTCTTCATACTTACTCTATATCATCTTTTTCACACATCTATAGAAAATAAAATGGAGATGAACTTTTTCTTAACTCTAATGACGTGATACAATATGTCTATTCTATGCGTAATGAATTTTTTGTGAGAATAGATAAATTTTTGTCATGATATCTCTTTCTACATATCATTGTCTGGAAACACATACATATCATACTCAAAAGATAATCGTGATATGCATGCTCATAAGAAAAGTTGATAAAATTTGAATCTCCAAAGACAACTTAATGAAATACATCTTTCATGATGCTAATATAGACGAGTGAGAGATAGTGATTAACATTTTTCAGACATGGAAAATGTGAATAATATTATCTTATATAGCAGGTGGAATAAGGAGAAGAAGAAATTAGTAATTTTAACTATTGAATGATACGTGTTCACTTGTTGGTTTATCCATATCTATTCACTGTCTATATATGTAGAACAAGAGAAAAAGAAAAAAAACAAAAAAAAAAAAAAAGAAGAGATATCATAATTCTTCTTTTTTTCTCTCTTCTTGTTCACCTCAGGAAAATTTATTCTATAGAACTGTGTGCGTGTGTGTGTATGTGTGTGTTGATTTATGTATAATTTTATCACACAAACGATTATTTATACTAACAAGAAAATCTGACTGTGTTTCGTTAAACAGTAGTATTTTTCATATTCGTACAACAATGATAATAAATGCGAATGATGATTACAAAAAAACACAGGCGTTAGTACAAGTGTAATTCTTGTGTTTTTATTAATAGAATTGTATTAATGCGCTAATATCTCAAAGTTTCGGTAAGACAAAACTTTATTTTACTATAGATAAACTTCAGAAAATTTTTTTGTAGAATAATTTTATCAAATTAAAAATATCGACGACATCCTTTATACTCTATTCTTTACTAAATAATTTTTTATTTCTTTCAATTGTTATATTTTAGTATGAATCGACTTTATAAACTATACTCTACATACTTCTTTGTTAATTTTCATTATTATTATTATTATTATAATTTATTTTTATTCTAGTGTCGCCTAAATAATGATTTAATTATCCTCTACTTAAATCACAAGAAAAAAAAAAAAATCATCATATCAAATGGATTTTTCTCTATCTAATGTGTCGAAGAATTGTTTAATACGTGAAATTCAATTGAAGAGTAATGATGAACTTGATTTACATTGTTCTACACATCATCGTTATCGTCTATTAAATCTCTATTCTAAAAGCTATTTAAACATATTGTCACAGCGGTTTATTTCGGCTTGTCAAATCTTATTATCATTATCATCATTTAATTCGACAAAACAACAAACGAAAAATATGATAATGATAATGAATAACAATCAATATAACAACAACAACAACAACAGCAACAACAACAAGAAACCTAAAGAAAATTATAAATTTCTATTTTTTGTAATGAAAGTTATTCTAATAATACTTGTCAGTCTTCTTGGTAAGTGGTTTTAGTCAATATAAAATGTTCATTTTCAATAATTATCATCACAACTGATATCGTACATATGCAACAGAAAACCTTGAGGCAACAGTAGTTTGTTCATCTATTCATATTTGTCTATATTCACTTAGACAATCAATTGTTCACTCTTATAGTCCTTCAGAAATACATTTCTTTTTTTTTTTTTGCACCAGCAGCAATTTTAAAATAGTGCCAATTTTTAATTGAATATTCATGAACAAAAAGATGAACAGGTGTATTCTAAAAAACTAAATATATCTATTATATCAATCGTATTTTGACGATTAAATTTTGTAAGAAAATGAACATGTAAATGGTAAAAGTTTTCATATCAATTTAGTCGATAAATTTTAAAAGCATGTTCGGTCAAAAAACTGATTGCAGATTCGTACTCACCATAGTTGATTACCTTGTACGCAACAGATTTTGAATCGGGATAATCCTGAAAAAATTTTCTCCATTGTTTTATAAAAGAATTTTTTACAAAGTATCTGAAGAGGATCATGGGCTGGAAAAGATTGAGACATTTTTTTTAGAGTATTCTGATTTAAAACGTGTTGCGTACAAGATAACCGACTATGAAGCAGAGCTCTGCAGTTTGCCACTTTTTGGCAACCTATAACCTAACCTATAAAAAAGTTCACAACCTAATCCTAACCAAATCTATCCTGTAATTTTTTGTCTTCAACCCACAGAACGTTACACATATATTTGACAAAAGTAAACATATATGTCATTGAGTTTTTTGTCTTTCAAAGAATTAGGACTGTGAAAATTTTGCATGCACAAAAGTAGAAAGAAATCGAAAAAAATTAAAACAAAATCTACAACCTAACCTAACATATAGGTTAGATTAGATTAGGTTAGATTTAACCTGCAGGACTTTGCTATAGAGAGTTCGAATCTGCAATCACTTTTAGGTAAATGCGCTTTTAAAAATTTCATGGCTGAATTGATATGCTAAATCAATTTAATTTTGACATTTTGTTGTAAGACGTTTATAGACACATAATATATGATTAAGAGTTTACTAGTTGAAATCTATGAAATTTTTCTTCGGTCTTTAGAGAATGATATTGAACTCATGAGAGATTAAATCACTTTGACAAATAGGAATTTAGCTATTGTATTTCATGCTTTCATACACATAAATTATTGATATGGTTATGACTGATTATATTTGTTTCCTTGAACTATAAAAATTTTCTCACCCATAAAAATAAGTAACAAATGACACATAGGAAAAACTTGATTAATATGATTACACAAAGCTCTCTCTTAAATCATTTAATGTCAATATGCATGTAACGATACTCTATTTATCATTGATTTATGTCTTCATCAATGACTGACTGACTTCTCATTACTCATTATTGCTCCTTTTTCAATCAACATCCATAGGCTATAGAGAAAATTTTTCTAACATTTTCTATTAAAGATAAAAAAAATATGTTCAATATTTTGAACTTTTCATGTTTATGATTTGTTGCATCATGCCTTCTAGAAGAAAAAAAATATATCTTTGAAATTCGTCTTCTTTATGAAACCTAAACAATGTCGAGTGATTCTCACACATCAAGTTGATTTTCACTCGACGATAGTAAAGTACTTTGAGAGAGAATTTTTATTGTTGATGTCAAATTGATTTTCTTCTCTTCTAATATGTTTTGAATAGACACATTTTTCTTCTTTCTTTCTTTATTAGATCAGAGCGGTTGGTTTGATGTATGTAAAACTCATCCCATATAGGGAGAGACGACGTGTTGTGTTTCTAATATTTATTTAGTTGTAGAGATAGAATTCTATCAGTAACATTTGTCTCTAAATTTTTTTTTTTTAAACAAAAATTAGATATTGCTGTTGCGGTCAATCTTTCATTAGATAATCAAACAAGATAGGATGGTGGTAGTGGTAGTTGTCACTATATCATGCTGTGTCATAAAAATGATTGACAACTATACTCATATTTGAGATATATATATTTCAAAACATGAAATATCTCTGAACAAGAATAAGTTCAACAGTGACTATTATAACTTATATAGACTCTTTGATGTAGTGCTACTGTGACTAGATTTTTCATAGGAAGAATTTTACGTACCATTTTAAGTTCGGACATTTGTCATTTCTCTCTCCATAAACTATAAAAATCGATAGTATAATTTTCACTTTTGTTTTTAGTACAACAATGTACACATGGATTAATGGTGAATGCATCAACATCTCCCCAAATAATATCACCTCCAAGTGAAATAATCGCATATATCAATCATACTGCACGATTATCATGTATTATACAAAATAAAGAATCTCATCATGTAAGATAATATATTTAACTATAGTCTTTGAATTTTCTATTGTCATATTATTATATTTCAGGTATTTTGGTCTCGTTATACGATTGTTAATGATACATATAAATTAAGCGATGTATTATTTATTAATTTATTAAAATTTTCATCTTATCCACATTATCATTTAACTCGAAAAGTTGATAAAACAACTGAACATTGGAATTTAGAAATTCGTAATATTCAACCATTAGATGAAGGTTATTATGGCTGTGCATTATCAACAAGTGAACCGATAATCAAATATTCCTTTGTTCGAGTTTTAGGTAAGATTGAATAAACTTCCCGTAATTATACAAAGGTGCCACCGACAGAAAAAAAGACAAAAAAAAAAAAAGAAAAAAAGAACAGTAGAAGAATATCTAACCTTGTATTAATGTCACATCTATTGTGATGTGATGTGATAATGATAGTATAACAAATCATGCTTGAAATCAAACAAACATAATAGAAACTGAATTAGGATCTCATGAGAGTTTCGTTCACACTATCTATACATTTTTTTACAAGGTTTTCTCACAGATCAAATAGCACACAACATCCCCGTTTTTTGTTTTTTTTTATATTTCAATGATTATAAAGACAAAGTCAATGTTCAGTCAATCATAATAATAAATGATTTTGAAATACACTTTCCAAATTAAAATAATAATATATTTGAAATCACATAAAAATTCCACTACTAATTGATCATACTTTATACGATACTTCAGAACAAAAAACAAAAAGCAAAATATCACTTAAATCACTATTTATCTGATACCGCTGTAGAAAAATACTATTCTTAGTTTCTTGACCCGTTTAAATATTCACTATCGGCATTATTTGTTCTTTTAGAAACTGTTCGAAACCAACGCAATGAATTGATGGCATTACGTTCAGCTAATATAAATAGTAATTCAACATTAGCAAAAAGTTATTCAGCATCATCAGTTGTACGAATAAATAAATATACTTCGAATGGAGCATCATTATTGTACAATCGACACTGTCTTTTATTCAAAACAATTTTCATTTCTTACATATTTTCTTACATTTAAAATAAGTATGACTGTGATTGTCGATTGCGTAAATCCATGTTTAAAGAGAATGCGATATTTTATATCTTTTTCTATATTGTGCATTTATTACAGATACATACTGAAGAAAACTGGTTGATTATCACTTTTTTTTTAAAATTTGTTATCAAGTTATATTGTTGTTTGTTTGTTTTGTTTTTAATTATCCTATTTTCAAACATTTAAACAATTTATTTCTATTGTAATATTGAACAAAAACATTGTAGTTGAACTTCTTTTCACAGTGATGAATAAAAAATATTTACATTTTTTTATTTTCATTTTTCAATTATGAACAAAAAATAATCTTCCAAAACACCATGTCTGAACTGAGATTGACCAAACCGCAAATAGCATTCATAAGATAAATTTTCACAAGAAAATAACCAATTCAACAAATATATCACTTTTATTCGGAATTGTACGTATATTCATTCTAAACAACAAGAACAAAAAGAAGTTGAATAAGAAAAAAAAGAAACGAGTACCAAATATGCTGAATTATATGGAAAAAAAAACATGTTTATTTTAATTTAATGCATTTGCTGAATATCCATCATTGGTGGTTCTTTCTTCGGATCACCATCATTATTTGACACTGGTGTTTTCGGTTTTTGTTCCCGAATAAGCATATTATTAGCTTCTTCATTCGATTCATTATTAACTTCTTTAGCATTTTCTCTAGCCGCTGCTTTCATAGCGTTTTGTTCTGCTTTGTCAATGGTATCAGACATCTAGAAATAACAATAAAACTATACAGTTAGAATTACTCATATTATCAATAAAAATAAAATTGATTTATCAGATAGACAATTGGTGATATGAAAACTATTTACAGAATTGGCAATAACAAATCATATGTCGGTTCCTCATTGACGATTCTCAAACAGTTAATATTTGAACAAATTTGGCTTCTATTAATGTTGATAAGCTGTATTAATATTTCAATGAATTCTATAATGCACTTTCGTATTAGTCAACTATCTTTCGTTGTTGTTTATGTTGCTGATGAACGATATTGTTAAATTAAACTTGACTATCATTGAAGTTTAATGCAGCGATAACATATATCATATATCATTATATCATAATCGTATAAATATAATCCAGTGGTATTTGCTTGATATTCGCTATCTTTTTTGATGTTCTAGAAAGCTTCTCATATTTCAGTGTTTTTTCATGATCACGAAAATAAATTGAATAATTATAATTTAAAAATATTTTTTGAAAATAAGAAAATCTTTTTACATTACTTGAATTTCATAAAATCAATGTCGACTGATAAAATACATAAATATTAAACAGTGTTCGATGAATATCCTGTTATTGTATATGTGTAAATTTTCTAGTTCTATTCTTAATATGGTCTCAACCGATTGAACAAGATAGATACAAAGAGCACATTCAAGTCAGTAGTAGTAGACATTTGTTTTTCCAACGTGTCAAATCGATCAACATTTTAGTGAATGTTTCGTATGTTTGCACTAATTTTTTTCTAAATCAATGTACACACATACCATGATTCCGTAGTTTTAGAGCGAGACATAATTATTACTATGTCATAATACAAAAAATATTACATAAATAAAAGTAAAACTAAATGTTTGATGCAGGAGGAAAGCAATGAAATATAATCATCGTTTTTAGATCAATTTTTGTTGATACTACTAGCTTCTTATTGCGTTACCCATCAATATTATAGTAAAATAATGATAATTTAATTTATTTCATACAAGCAAGCAAGCAAGCAAGCAAAGCATATCCTGTTTGACTTGGTGTCAAACAATGTTAATAGAACAATAGAAAATACGAGTTTTATTCTTCATATTTTATTTTATTTTATTTTATCATTTTTGACAAGAAAAAAAACAGCATGTATGAAAAAGAATCATTACTTTCTTCTTGTCTAGTTTAAAAACGTGTACTACATGAAAATGTTCAGTAAAATGTAAAATACGACAAACCATTAAGAAAAAAACAACAACTGCATTTTATTACATTACAAAATACACGATTGATGATAACAAAGAAGAAATAAAGCCAACGTAGAACTTGCGAAAAAAAAAAAACACCACAGTATAGCCGAGAGTTTAACCAAAAGAAAGAAAACATTATAGATAACAGTATGACAGCACAAAAACATATTTGCCAATAAAGCTTTAAAAAATCTACCAGCGAGAAAAAAAACAACGAATGAATGAGTGACAGTGTATTATCTCTACAAATACGAAATGTATGCGCAGCATTCTTTCTAATTTCTCTTAAGAATATGATAAAAAGAAAAAAACACGAGTAGATACTAGCCAAGCCGTTTGAAGCTAACCTATGGTTCGATTCAGACGTATAAATTAAATGATTGCTAGAAAGGTGGGATGATTCTAATTCTAGTCTAAACAAATTTAGTTCAATCTTATTAATGACTTTTCTTAGTATACAGTCTATTCACTGTTCAATAAACGATAGATCATGTTTATTTTCAACAATAGAAAATTTTTTCTTATAAGTACACATTCTACGATATTCTAAACACTTCAAACGTTTCTCGAGCACATGGCTCTTCTGTTTTGTTTTTTATTAGTAGAAATAGACTTATAAGAAAACAAAATAGACGAATATGATGATAACAAACGTGAATGAGAAAAAAGAAAAAAATTGGAACGACGTGCTGTTAAAATTAGCGTAAAGTTCGTTATTTCTCTTGTTAAAATAAATCACTGTTGTACATACGAATTGGAAGGAATGGAAAATCAACTAATAATATTTTATATATACATAAACAAATAGATCAAAACAGTTTCAATGCTTTATAGCAGCCTACGAATGACATTATGTACAAAATAGAAAATAAATACGGTTCACAATATATTGTTGTCTTTTTTTTATTATTTTGGACGGTCTGTTTAATAACACCATCTCTTTCGAATAGCGTCGAATATGTCTCTATGACATTTATATTCTTAACCTGACAACACTCGAAGTTAAATTATCATTTTCTGTTATTGAGGATATTGCTGCAGCGGATGACGAAATTGTTGTTGTTGCTTTTGACAAATGATCACGTAATATTTTTATAAATTCATCACTAAAACCCGGATAACGTAGCTGAGCATTTTCAAACATCTGATAAAGATCATGAAATAATTCTGAACCAGTTTGTTGAGAGATTGATGAATGCGCATTTCCATTCGATGGTGATGAAGATGGAATATTATAACGATGCGAGAGCTTAAAAAAAGAACATGCTATGATGTATAAAAATAGAGGATATAAGTCGACGAAACATACGTCAGAAAATATTGATTTTAGTAATGGATCTAATTCGATGGAACGCTGCGGTTCTGCCGGTGATTGAGGCAAAACATTTTCCAGCTCATTTATATCAGACTAACAAATAAAAACAACAATATCGTTATAAAGCAGAAAATGATGAAATAAAAAAAAGTGACGTTACCGGTCCTCGTTTCCCACCATGACGTGGAAGATGTTTTTTAATGACACCATCAGATGGGGAAGTTTTCACTGTAAAATTCCATTCTCCCACAATTGTTTTGTGTTTCTGACTATAAATCATAAAAGAAAGTATTATCAATCAATTAATTCTTTAAATATAACCAGAAACTGTTAGGTAGAGTAAGGGCACAACAGGAAGGCACTAATCTTATAAAAATCATTCATAGAATTACATTTATCTGAATTTTAAATAGTCTTAAAGGATAGAGATAGATGTAATTTTCACAAATAGATATCATTTTTTGGTACACAGTGTTCAAGTTAGCACAACTGTCTATTATGCGACTACTTTCAGTTCACATTGGGAGAAAGGTGGGTAGGTTACAATAAAAATAATTAGTCGAAATGGTCCCTTTTTGTTTATGTAGATGTTTACTTTTCATCGTCCGAATCAGATCCACTATCTGAACCGCCATTTTTATGACTATCTTTCCATCGTCGATAACGATCGATCAATTCCACTAGATATTTGGTACTCTTCTTTAGGGTAACAAAATTAAACTTTCGAAGTTGTGTTGCAGTTGGTCGCTATGAGAAAAAAAGCAAATGTCTCATCTAGTCTCTCTTAAGTAGTTTAACTTACATGTTCAGGTGTTTTTTGTAGACAGCTTTCTATAAATTCTCGAAATATTTTGCTGTAATTTCCAGTTAGCTGCGGTGGAGGATTTTTTGGTATTTGAAGTAGTACTCTCATTGGGTGAAGATCAGAATAAGGCGGCTCTCCTTTAGCTAGTTCAATGGCAGTTATTCCTAATGACCAAATATCAGCCTGAAATAAATACAAAAATATCAGCATAGACATACAAATACAACCATTAGGAAAGTCGCATACCGAGTAATCATACTTGTGTTGCATAATAACTTCTGGTGACATCCAAAAGGGTGTACCTACAAATGTATTTCCTTTATTCACTGAGTCAGTTAACTGTTTTGCAACTCCAAAATCGGCTAGTTTCACATCTCCATGTTCAGACAATAAAACATTGGCAGCTAGAAATCAAACACACATCAAGAATGGAATAAAACCAATAAGTGCTAATTAGTACGATTAAAAGACATACCCTTGATGTCTCGATGAATCTTTTTCTCAGAATGTAGATACTCAAGACCTTTGAGAACTTCACGTAATATAATTGCAATATATGTTTCATCGAATGGTCCGGGTTTCATTAAATCCAATGCCGACCCACCACCTAAATATTCCATTATTATCCATAGCTTTGTTCCCTAAAAAAAAAAAAAATAAACATAAATAAATTATATTGTTGAACTTTTTATTTGAAATAACAACATACTTTTAAATAGGATCCAAAATATTTTGTTATAAATTGAGAATTGCACTGTGATAGAACTTGAATTTCTTGTTGTATATCTTCTATTTCATCTTCAGCTTTTTCCAAGTCAATTATTTTAATAGCAACAACGTTCGATGATTTAATATTTATTCCTTTGTATACTTCGCCAAATGAGCCACGCCCAATATGATCGAGACGATGAAATATTTCTTCTGGATCAACGTGACCCTTAAATAATAACGTTACTGAAACATGTCTTATTACAAATGAAAGTGCTTTACCTGCTGTCCAGGAAGTGCAGTCAGAGTACTCATTAAAAATCCACGAAATTTCTAACATGTACCTATCCAAAAAAATATAATCAGTACCTTAAAGAACGAAACAAAAATGGTCGTATAAATTTATAAAATCTTTGGCAGTAGTAGTAGACTTCTTTTTATTTATTTTTTTGTCCAGAAACGAAACGTACTCTCATAAAAGTAAGAATTGTTTACATGCTAGTACTTAGTGACATACATTTAATTATTTGTTTTCTGTTTTCCTCTTATTTCTTTTCTCACGCATGCAGATTTATTTAGCAAAGATACGAACTGAATGGGGAGGATACAAATATAACTATCTTTGTTGTTTTTCAGCTAGTCAGAGTAGGCTGTGTTGATGTGTGTATTCCATCGTCTTTCATCTCCAACTTCCTGATAAAATATGGATTCGTTCCTCCAATAACATATCTCTGCTATATATTGGTCAAGACAATCAAGATAAGCTGCAGCCTAAGTTTAGAAGTAAAATTGATTGTGAATCTTGCACAAAATAACAGATTAACTAGATTAAATAAGAAGATAAAAAGATAATTTTTTTAAGTCAAATTAAGCGTCTGATAATTTTGCTGTGAACAGTCGCGACTGTCCATGCCTTTGTAGCTGAAAGTACGTTTACAGTCACGATTGCTGAAAGAAAAGTTACCATCACGGTAACTGATTATCGCCTAAAAAAGCAATTTTTCGACACCAGCAAAAGAAGTCTCTGAAAGTCGAGCAAGGAAAAACTTGCTTTTTTAAACGATAATCATCGATATTCACAGCTATGTTTCTCAAAGACTAAAAGGGGTCCTTTTCTAAAAAGCAGATCAGCAAATTGATTAAAGGTCAGTCCTTTTCTCTCGTGAAGAACATTTGCGTGATATATATGAAAATCACCTGAGGTAATTGATCTTTTTCACCGATGGAAAGTTCTTTTTGATGAATTGGACAAGAATTCTCTTGGCGCAGTAGACAAAATCAGTCGTATGTTCCATGCAATTGCTAATGACTGCCAAGTTTCGGTGTTCTTGCCCGATCGTAACATGGATTGTGAATAGCGTGGCTTGATGTTGACTGAAGAAGCCTTGTTGAACTTCACGCTGACGACCCAGGGGTAAAAAAATCGGACTAAAAACGCGTTAAAGGTTTCAAAACCAACGCGTTGTTTTGGTCGTTTTAACGCGTTTTGTTCTAAAAAGCTCCGTTAAAAAATGGGTTACAACGCGTTTTATGATCGTTAAAAACGGCCAAAAGACGCGTTTTCGTCGTTTTGGAACGCGTTCTTATTAGCGTTGGTTTTGAAACCTTTAACGCGTTTTATGGATGTTAAAAACGGCCAAAAATCTCGTTCAAATTCAGTTATCAAAGCTATTTCAACGCAATTGCTAGGTGTATAATTTTACTTGCGAGTTCCACATTCACATACGATATCAGGCCAATTGTTGTCGATATTGTAATACATTGTATGGAGTTAGCATTTGATTTGCATTCGACGATTCATACTTGAAACAAGCAGTGTAAACGAATTGCTTCAAATATTATATCGCAGAAGCAATTGTTTACATCTACCAGAAATCAAGTATAATACATGTAAAATGAATTC